TCGGCTCAGAAGCCAGGAATGGTGCGGACTAAGGAGACATAAGCAGGTGGAGATATGCTCCGCTGACTCAGGAACGAACTGGGCTGAGAGAAACCAACTTGGAATGCATTCCTGGTTCTAAAACAGGAACAGAAAAGCCTCGGTGTGGAGGCTGGACCCCGCGCCATTGTAAGCCGCGATTTGGGTTTCCCGCTGCACTGCGGCTGGCTGCCTCTACAGTGGCTCGGCAAGGAGAGAGACGCGCAGAAGCTCTGAGAACGGCAATCTGCGAACGGCAGGGAGGCGTGCACTGACTTGTGGTGAGGTGAGTGAGAGAAGCTGACACTCTACCACAGTTTGACTCCAGTGGAGGACTTTCTGGGTCCGAGCAGTCCTGCGGGAGCAGGGCGTGGTGGCGACTCCAGCCACACATCCCCCTCTCGGGCGAGATTGGTGAAAAGTGCCTGGCCTGCGTGACGCTGCCGGCAGACCTGCTAGGCTGTCCCAATCCAGATCCCAGAGCCTGACGGTGGCCGGGAGGGGAGATGCGTAGGCTGCCTGGTCCGTAACTCCCTGGTGCGCAGCGGTGAGCGGGAACACCTAACTGGCGCAATTCGATCAGGCTGTGGCTGACTGGGAGAGAAGCTGGGCCTCTTATATAAGCTTGCATATATAAGGAACAGAGAAGAAGAGGCAGCATGGGAAGAGGCAGCAACAAGAAAGGCTCCTCGGCCCCCAATTCTGAGAAACAGGCAATAGCAGACACCGCACCAATATACATAAGGCACCATATAGAGAGCCTCATAGACCAATTCAGGAATGAAGTTATCAACGACCTGAAGCTAGAAGTATGCAGAATAGTTAGAGAAATGCTAAGTACCACCCAAGAAAAAACAGGCAGTGGAATGGAAGAACAGAAAAAAAGGGGAGAATTGTTTGATGGAGAAAACAGAGAAAGCATAGAATACGTGAAACAGGTTCAAAGGGACTACCAAGATACTAAGAGGTCTATAGAAGACTGGCATAACAGCTTGAAAGAAACTAAGGACAGACTATCTGAACTGGAGGGCAGACTTGTAATATGGGAGAATGAAATGAAAAACTTCTTAAAAATAACAAAGAAACAAACAGCAATAATACAAAGACAAGAAGATGATAAGAGGATCCATAACTTAAGGATTAAGAACATAAAAGAAGAAGTAGGGACACAAACAAGTGAACTACAAAAGCTACTCACAGAAATAATCCAGGAGAATTTTCCTAATTTAGCAAAAGGTAAAGATACTCAGATGTATGAGGCATACAGGACCCCAGCTACCTACAACCCAAACAGAGCAACACCCAGGCATATAATAATAAAAATTCCAGAAATTCAATACAAGAACAGAATATTACAAGCTGTAAGAGACAAGAAACAGACCACTTACAAGGGAACACCCATCAGAATTACAGCAGATTTCTCGGCACAAACCATCAAATCACGAAGAGCGTGGGGGGAAATAATTCAAGCATTGAAAGATAATAATCTCCAGCCAAGATTGAGATATCCTGCACAACTGTCCCTGGAAATTGATGGAAAAACAAGGTGCTTCCAGGATAAAGAGGAACTGGGCGAATTTGCAACCACCAATTCAACCCTACAGAAAGTATTGCAGGATATTCTAAAAAAAGAAAAATACAAAGAACCCAGAAATAGTGGCGGGGAGGCCACAACGAATGGAGCAGAGAACAAAATGAAGAAGACGAACTGACAGCTACTGACAGAAAAAGAGCTCAACAGAAATGAGGCAGAGAAGATTGGATGATAGGAACAGCTATTTTGGAGAAAATGACATCTTAATAGGTAATACTGATTTAGTATCATCTTGTTTTGAAGTCTCATCTAGCTTTTGTCCTTCTGTCTCCAATGGTCTAAATAGGTTGTATCTTACTGGATTTTATTATGTACGATAGTATAAGCAAAAACCTTGTAAAGACAAGGAGATTATACAGAAACCATTATTCATTTTCTGTTAGTCGATTCTAAATACTCTGTAATGCTGTCATTCTCTTGAATGGTTTTACATTGTTTTGATATACTTAATGCTACAGTATACGAAGTTGTACTCAAGGATTTCAAAGAAAGAGACAATATGGTAACTACTTTTAGGTTAGGATTATCTGGTGGTGAAACACTATTCTGCTTAAATGGTTATGTTTTGATCTGCGCTGTTTCATTGTTATGCCCTCTTTTATCTCAATCTCCACTCCATTATTTACTTTTTTATCTTTATCCTTTTAATTAAAGGAAAAAAATAGCAGGATATATTATAGTAACCCACTTTGACTTTTCATTACCTTGATTTAAAGCCCTGTATTACTCTCACCATCTGGTTTTTAACTGATGTTCCCCTATTCTGTTTTGCTGGATAGTATCAGGTTCGAAAGTTTATGCATCAGCTGTGAAGATAATGAGATTCATTATGACGCCCATTGTTGTTGATTTTTATCTACTTTTGAAGACCTACAATGTCTCCAATGTTTTGGTTTTGTCGGTTTTATTCTTTACTGTTTTGTTCAATTGTATTATAACTAACGATATAGGCAATTCTATTAGAGATAGCGGGAGGCATTATGGTAACCATTGTTGATCACCTTGTATTATGTTTTTACATTATCTATTGTGTCCACCCTTTTGACTTGACCAATTCTGTTCTGTTATGTCACATTTGGTTTTACTCTCTTCCAAAAAATAATAAGAACCGTGGGAGCAATGAAACCCAAAATGTGTAATAGTCATGGTACAAAAGAGAGGAAAAGAAAGTGCTCCAAACTATATAACTGCATGTATATTTAAGTGTATAAGATAGAAAATGATATCACAGAGTTTTATTGGATCAATGAACAGAACTGTTTGCAGTAGCATTGATGGAATGTCCACTTTAGAAGCTTTAATTTTGTGACTTGAACAATTATTTCTAAGATGACAATATGTAATCCATTAACTAGTGATTTCCTACTGTTCATTTTTTTTCTGTAAATCTGTATAACTTGTACCCTTTCCCTGCTTTTTTTTGTTTTCTCCTTAAATAAAATTTAAAAAAAAAAAGAAAAAAAAAAAAAAAAAAAAAAAATGATCCTGGATTCATTAGAAGAAATAAAATAACAGGCTCAAACTCTGAAAGTATTTATGGGCCAGAACCTTTTAATGAAGGAATTACTCCTCCTCATCCCCATGCAAAGCAGTTGTATAAATCTAGATTCCAACAATTAAGTAAATTTCCAGTTTTGCTGACCAAAGTTTTTCTTCATCTTCACAGAAATTAAACCATCTTCGGAAACATGCACTAGAAACAGCACCAATGCTCTGGATGTTTATGCTACAATCTATTTAATGCAAGTAGTACTGTGATGTTAAAACAAAGTCAACCACAGGGCTGGGGATTTAGCTCAGTGGCATAAGCGCCTGCCTTGCAAGCAGGCAGTCATGAGTTCGATCCCCAGTACCGATCAAAAAGAAAAAGACAAAAAAAAAAACAACAACAAAGTCAACCCATTCCATAAATGAATATTCATGAAACTAGTTGCTAAAGCAACTGAGTAGTTACTAGAAAGTCAAGCAGTGTGAAATTACACATCTTACTCCTATACTCAGCATCTGCTGGCTTTGCTAACCGGAACATGAACATGTTTCTAAATATAAAGTCCCTTTCATTATCCTAGTATCAGGTCCTGAAATTCCAGGTTGCTAGCCTTCTTCTGTCAAAAATAAATTCATTCTTAGTATCCCTCAATTCAGTTCTATGGCTAGCAGTCTGGTGTTTTTCTCTGAGGGTCACTGGGGAGAATCAGAGGTATGAATTTTCCATCTTTTTTGCAGGATCATCAGAAACCACAGAAGTAACAAACAAAAATGATCCCACGTCCTCACCCTCCCACTCCTCCAAAGGCTAAACTTTCCCACGAGTCTTCACAGCCTCAAGATATGAAGAAAAAGAAAAACCCTTTAGCCGACAGGGGACCTCTTCAAATTCTCCAGACAGACTTATTTTTCTGGTCTTTTATTTTCTTCATTCACTCAGGGCTATTCATTACAAAGTATATAAATACCCATGAACAACAACTTAGTCTCTTAACTTTAAACTGGTTAATTCTGTCATTATTCATGATATCAGTCCTAAATTCATGCTTAAAATAGAAAATGCACGTCAGTGGTTGCAAAATAAAATTGCATAATTTCTCTTTGGAGTTCTAATTCAATCTTAATGTTGAAAACCCCAAGAAACAGTATCAATTGTAAAATCTCTCTAAACAAGATATATATCCTTATGGATTAAGTCTGGGTATTATGCAATAAGAATTTACTCTTTTCTGGGGTAAAGACTCAAAGCAAGGACTTATTTTCCTTTCTTAACATGTTATTCAAGAGACAACAGTGTCTGTACCACACAGGAATTATTTAAAATTAGTCTGAGCCACACATGGTGGTGCAACCAAAGCACCTGGAAGGCTGAGACAGAAGGATCACCATGAATTCAAGGCCAGCCTAAACTACAGAGTGAGACCCTATCTGAAAAACCAGAATCAAAATCAAAACCAAAACAAACAACAAGCAAAAGAATTTGGGGCCTTACTTGAAGCTACTAAATCAGAATCTAGTTTTTACTGATACATGTATGTAGATCTACCTACATCATAAAACCTCAGAATTGGGACTGGGGATTTAGCTCAGTGGCTTAAGCGCCTGCCTGGCAAGCACAAGGTCATGAGTTTGATCCCCGGCACCAAAAACAAAAGAATTAAAACCTCAGAACTAGCAGAAAATTTCAAAGCCTATCACACATATGATTAACAGTGAATAAAATTATGACTGATAATGACTACAGTCCCCTTCATAAATCCTTTATTATTTCTTATACCAACAGGTTTTACTTAAAGAGAAATTTCCCATAAAACTATAAACTGCTTCTCCTGAAACATGTGAAAGCTTATCATGGCAATTATTGTGAATAGAAAAGCCACCGACATAACCAAGTTCTTACCTAATCTAAGCTCTCCGAAGTTTCCGCACCCAATTTTCTTGCCAACCCTGAAGTTGGGTCCCACCATAAGAACCCCAGAGGATGTCGAGGAGCCCGGCAGTCGGGAGCAGTGTGCATTGCTTTGTGCCATGGATTTAGTTGTCCGCTGTCGTTTATCCTTTTCTTTACTAGAATGGTCCATGATCCTACGCAGTAGTCTCTGGAAGAGTAGCCACAGCGTGTATGCTCTCTTCAGTACGGAAGTGTATCCAACAAATCGAAGTCAGAGAAAGATAAGGAGTTCTTTTGGTGCCATATTTCTGTTTCTAATGTATCTCCAGGAGATGAAAAACCATTGATTAGTTCCTGTAGGACAGTAGAGTATAGGTCCCAAGCATAGGAGGATATTGTGTAACCTAGGCAAAAAAAAATGCAGTTAAAAATTAAATTTTAAAAACAATTGGGAAAGTCACTTCCAATAAGAATGGATCCTATCCAAAAATGAGCAAAGTAAAAACAGGTTCTGGTTTTGTATCTTCCAATGGGTTTGCAGCCATCTGGATTAGTTATTCATGCGCTAACATAAGCTCAGTACGCTGCAAATCACGAGAGCTGAGGGACCACATGAGCCTGTAATATAAAATGCTTTCTCCTAGTGAAGTTCATATGACCAAAACCAAAAGTTTCTATTGGTTGTTCTTCCTCACTAGCTAACAGAAAGATGTAATGGGGTTAAAGCCAAGTTTAATAAACTGTTGGCAATTTTATTAAAACTTCTTCATTTAATTTGTCTAGGCTGCTCTCTGCCTCTCTCCATGATTCCTACCATTTGCCATGTACTGGCACACATTATTTCTACACCAAGTAGGTCTAAATAAAAGCTTTGAAAACCTCAACATTTGGTCTAGCTTTTGATGTACATTGAGTCAAGAAACTAAAAATCATAAACATAACATTCATTCCCTACCAGAATTCAGAGTCCCAACAAGAAACTTCACAATGGTATCATGTTAGTACTGCATGTGATAACCCATCTGTCTCTATGAAACCCTGATATATATTTTGGGTTTTGCCCATTTTCCTGGCTCACTGCTCCCTTGTTAATTCCTAAGTGACAAGATGTTGGGCACTTTAGCGTCACACAGCAAAGTCTCTCTGACCTTTTCCTATCATCCTTTTTCACCTGTTCCCTTTTCTTTCCAAAACAGGCCACAGAAACCGAAACTTACATTTCCGCTAGGGAATAATACCACATCCACTCCACTTTGGAACCTCTACTTGTAAGAAAATTCCCTGACCTACCTTGTCTGATAGATCATAAAACTCTCATTTTAGAAGAGCACATTTCATTTTGGGGAGGAAGAAAAGCTCCACAGACAATCTGCATAGACAGGCCTTGTTGAGTTTCCCCACTGTCTTGTTTGTAACAGATAACACAGGGGGTTTCATTTCTGTGGTACTGGAAATTTAACCCATGAGAATTGTACATCCTTTCTATTTTGACAGGAGCTCCCACTAAATTCCCTAGGCTGACCATGAACTTGCAATCCTGGCTCAGCCTTTGGAGCACCTGGGATCACAGATATATACCACCACATCTAACTAGATAATATATTTTTGTTTAATATATGGAACTGTGGTTCCAAATAGTTATCCATGTGTCGATCTTTAATCTGCAAAGAAGTCTCCATAAAAAACTCAAAAGGAGGGGCCAAGAGTATAGCTCAGCATCATGGCACCTGCCTGGCAAGTGCAAGGTCCTGAGTTCAATTTTTGGTTCCAACAGAAAAAAACCAACCAAACAGGGACTGAGGATTTAGCTCAGCAGCATAAGTGCCTGCCTGGCAAACCTGAAGTTGTGAGTTTGATCCCTGGTAAAAAAAAAAAAAAAAACTGACCAAACAAACAAAAACCTCAAAAAGACAAGGTTCAGAAATTTTCCTAAAAGTCATAGCCACTGAAATTTTTGGCGAGTGGTATGCTCAGAGAAGACATCAAAGTCCTGCTCCCCTTCCCCATACCTCACCCAAAGCATCTATTCATCTGTACCCTTGTAATGTCCTTGTAGTAAACATGCAGGTGTGTTTTCTTGGGTCCTGAGCCATTCAAGAGAATGAACCTATAGAAATCCTGGAACCTCTCTCTGTAGCCAGACAACTAGAAGCACAGGTAAAACACCCTGGATCTTATGAAAGGCATCTGAAGGGTAGGGGAAGGGTGTTTTGGGCACTGTGCCTCAGCTTGTAGAATCGGATGCTGTCTCCAGGTAGACCGCATCAAAACTGAACTGGAGGTGGCTGGGGGTTTATCTCAGCGACACAAGCTCCTGCTTGGCAAGTGTGAAGTCAAGAGTTCAATCCCCACTACCAAAAATAAAAAAAAAAAGAACTGGTCTAAGATATCTAGACGGTGTCTACCACTGCAGAATTAACTTGCTTGCTGATGGGAAGAAACCTCTATACCTACTGGGTAACAGAAGTCTTCCATATTATTACTATGACGCTAGAGTAAAGCTTTGTTTTCAGTCTTAATATCCTTAAAAATATAAACCATTCACATACCAAACACATATTTACATTTCACTTTCGTAAGTGTTCTCCTCAAAAAAAATATTTTCCTCAAAACTTTTAAGAGAATTAGAACAATTACTTCACTATTATCAGCAGTATACAACAAGACAAAAATGTCTAGACTGAGCCAGGCATGATGCTGTGCCAGTACCCCAGCACTCAGGAGGCTGAGGCAGGAAGACCATCTTGAGGGCATCCTGGATTACACAGTAAGCTCTTAATCATTTTCATTACTGCTTACAGGTCATAGCACCATGCCTCTCACAAACAAAGCAAAAGCTCATATTTCAGGTATCAGATTTCTAATCTATACATGAGACATTAACTATGTCTAAGCTGTAATTAGAAAAGATAAATTCTATTCAATTCTACTTTATGTATTTTAAACATCAAAGAAACCAAATTAAATTTTGAAAATCCTGTTTCTCACCACCTACAGCTCAAAATTATTATTTGGCTCCCAATCATAAATTTTGAGGCTTGTCATTTGAGGACCTTCAACTCATTATGTATTAAAAAGTCACCACATAACACAGAGTATCTATGTCTTAGCTTTATACCTTAATATTCTGCTTACATTTAAGGCCTAACATAGTTTCACCCTTCGTGAAACTTTTTATACCTAACTCATCATTAGTACCTGAAACATCACTATTTATTCATTTGTCACCTATTATCAGATCATAACCATGCATATTCTTAATATCTAACTTAATTAAAAGCCTTTAAAGTTAGGGATCATTCATATCTCTTAATTTCCTTACCCTAAAAATTTCCTAATACTCTAAAAATACTAAACAACAAATATACGTTCTTGTCCAACAGAAAGCTGATTATGGTGACATAATCAAATATTTACACAAAGTAATAAAGCAAAAGAGAACAAGAATTCATCTATGAAAAAGCTAGCATTAATTCACTTAAATTCATCAGGGTAATACAAGTTAGTTGGGTTTTCCATTTCACAAGGATATTAAGTGATTTTCAGTCAGCAGTAAGCAGATTTGAAAAAAGTGAAGAAATAGGCCAAACCTATTTGTTTGTTTGAAAAATTGTTTTCAAAAAATTATTTTGGCAGTGCTGGGGACTGAATTCAGGGCCTTTGCAATGAGCTATGTTCCCAACTCTCCTTTTTTATTTTCAAGTAGGCTCTCACTAAATTACTAAATATACAAACTGAGCTCAAACTAGCAATCTTCCTGCTTTAGCCTTCCAGCATGATAGGATTATAGGCATGTATCATCTTGCCCACTGGTTCTATCAATTTAAATATGTTTGTAGTAGAGGAAAGATATTTCATTGTTACTTTTAAAAACAGAACCAGGGAATTAGCTCAGTGGCATAAGTGTCTGCCTGTCAAGCACAAGGTCGTGAGTTCAATCCCTGGTACAAACAAAACAAAACAAAACAAAAACAACAACAGTATGAGCTGGTGCCAGTGGCACACATCCAACACTCTGGACGCTGAGGCAGGAGGATTACCAAAAAGGCTAGTCTGGGCTACATAGTGAGTTCAAGGTCAGTCTGTACTGCATAGTGAGACCCTGTTTCAAAATAAATAAATAATAAATACACACACACACACACACACACACACACACACACACACAAACAGTATGAGCAAGCAAAAATGACATAACCAAAAAGATAGTGGAACTGACCGATGTGGTTAATCAGAAAGTTAAAAGAGCTGATCAAAACTATCTGGGCACGGAGTCAGAGGCAGGAGGCTCACTTTTATTCAAGGCCAGCAGGGACTACAAAGTGAATGGGAGGCCAGCCTGAACTGAACAGTGCATCTCTATCTCAAAAGGACAAACAAAAACAAGAAACTATTCGAAACATGAATGACAAATTTACCAAACAAGTAGACTCTGTGAAAAAGTGCCAAACAGAAATCCTAGAGATAGAAAATATTAATACATGATCAGTAGAAATGATCAACGTGAAGAGTCTCTTGCATCTTGAGGACAAAATGATGACACGTGCTGATAAACTCTGAGAAACCTTAAAAAAAAAAAAAAGGAAGAAAGTAAGAGAAATTCATCTGAAAGCTCCATGAAATTAGAGAGAAATTAGAGGGCAGCACATACGGAATTTAAAAAATCAGTTTGTAGAAATCATAGCAGAAAACTTTCCAACTATGGTGTCTGAGTTACTTTTCTCATTACTGACACAAAATACCCCACACGCAAGGTTAAAAGAGAAAGGTTTATTTGGGTCACAGTTTGTAGCAGTTTCAGTCCATAAGCAGCTGTCTCCAAGGCAAGACAGCATGGGAGACAATTATCACAGAGGAGAAACAGTTCATGGCAGGCAGAAGGTAGCAAAAGCAAAAACCAATAAACAAGGCAAGCCTCTTTCTGTCCCTTATATTGTATCCAGGCTACTGGGATTAGGGTGCTGACAAACCAATCAGTGGACTGATTTAGTGATCACCCACCTTTAATCCTAGCACCCTTAATCCCACACTGTACTGTGAATCAACCACACATTCTAGATTCGGCCTACTCTAAAAAAGCCCCACCAATGACTGCATTGGGCTTTGAGGGAAAATCTAGGCACAAACCACAACAAGTGGCAAAGGAAGTCAACATTCGAGCATGTACATTTAAAGAAAGAAAGAAAGAAAAAACAGCACGAGCAGGGAGCAGTGGCACACCCCTATAACTCCAGGACTTGGGATTCTGAGACAGGTGGATCTTGAGATGAAGGTCAGTTTAAACTACATAGCAAGATCCTATCTAAAACAAACAAATGACATACAGAATGGGGACAAGACTGAAGCATTTCCTCTAAAATCAAGACTGTCAAGACAGGATGTCTACTCTCTGATAGCAAGTGAA